TTATGAAGATGGACAAGAAGTATTCAGATTTGAGTAGCAATAAATGCAGAGGAACAGCTAGAGACAAGGTTAATCAAGGGGAGTTTATTTCATTTTTGAAAAAGCTGTTTTGGATTAGTTCTACAGATTTAAAGAACCAAATTAGGAAGGATAAAAAACGCTCAGATAAAGATAAGCACGACGATTTAACTTTTTTGGATGACCAGGAAGGACCGAGATATTTTAATTTGGGATCAGAAGATAGAAAATTTAGCAAAAAGGTTTTGTGTTGTTTTTATTGGGTTAATTTGACGTTTTTTATTCAAATTTGCTAATTTAACATACATTATTTGTTAATACACATACACTATGTTAAAATAAATTTTAGGTTTCTGAAGGTGTGAGGAAGAGGACAAGGCTAGAAGATGAATCTCCTAAGATTGACGCTACCTCAGAATTACACTTGAGTTTCACTGACACTAGCGCTGATTCTGATTCAGAATTTGAACCCAAAGTTTGGCATCATAGAAGAGCAGATGATTGCAACATTACTGCCAAAGTCCCTAAGAATATTTTTGATGGAAATGTATCTATCATAACTACAGCAAATGATATCTCCCCCAATGTCTTACAAAAAGTAACTGGAGCAATTCTTCAAGATTGTGGAGTTGATATCGCAAAATGCAAAGCCAGTGCTTCAACAGCATTAAGGAAGATGAAAAAAACTGCCAAGGATACTGCAGAAATTGCTAAATTAGATATAAAGAAGGCCGTGGAAAAAAGCCATTATCCCTGTATAATTCATTTTGACGGAAAGACTTTGTTTGAAATAAATCAGGGAAAAAGACTGAAGAATGAAAGATTAGCTGTGCTCGTTAATATTGAGGGGGTGTCGCATCTTCTTGGAGTACCTGCCTTGCCGTCTTCTTCAGGTGAAAATATGTATATAGGAATCATGAAAATACTAGAAGAATATGACCTCATTTCAAAAGTATGCGGAGTATGCTTTGATACAACTTCAAGTAATACTGGTTCTAAGAAAGGATCACTTACTAGGATTGCAAGAGAGGTTGACAAATACCTTCTTCTACTAGCATGTAGGCATCATATCATTGAGCTTAGGCATCATATCATTGAGCAATGGTTCATTTCTGTGAAGCAGTGATAAAAGAGAATAGCGTAGGGCCTGAAAATCCTTTATTCGTAAAGTTTAAACATATGTTTGAGAACCCTAACTTCAAATAAGACGAAAATAACCTGACCTCTCTTGATTGGAAAACCGTGGAAGGAACAGTTTTGAAGGAAGCTGCAAGGAAAACTTTAGATTATATTACTAAAAAATGCAATATGAGGAATGACCGAAGAGAGTTGGCTGAGCTAACCATGCAGTATATCCCCTTCTGCACATTTCAAATTAAAGAAAACTGGAGCTGTTCATCATGCTAGGTTTTTAGGCAAGAGTTTATACTACCTTAAACTTCAGCTTTTGTGCAAGCAACTGACATTTGTGCAAGAAAATGATAATCTATGCGAAGATTTAAAACTCATCTGCAAGTTCATAGTATGTTTTTACACAAGGTGGTACCTTCAAGCACATAAAGCAATTCAATCTCCTGTGTCTGATCTTGATGCAATCTTTCAGATGAAAGAGTATAAGAAAGTTTGCTCTAATCCGGAGGCAGTAGACGCAGTGTTAGCATCTCTTTATAAGCATACATGGTATCTTGATTCAACGATTATTCCCTTGGCTCTTTTGGATAAAAATATTTCTATGGATAAAAAAACAGCCATTGCAGATGCTTTGCTTTTCTTCCAAATGCCAGATCCAGATTTTTTTAAACATAGAAGCAAAGATCGAATAGACGAGATTAATATCATAAATAATATGAAGGTACCAACCCTCTCTCTTTTGGTTAATGAGTTTTCATATTTAATTTTTTCAATGATAGGGTTGGATAATCAGAGAGTGAGAGACTGGTTGTCACTTCCACCCCAATATTGGCACACCCAGTCCTCATTTAAGAATTTTGAAAACTTTGCCAAAATCTTAATTGTTGTCAATGATCATTCTGAACGAGCAATCGGAATGATGCAGCAGTTTGTACAAAGATTCGAAAATGAGGATGACAAGCAGAACAGACTTTTAACTGTCGACTTTCAAGGTTTTTTTAAAGGTCATTTTAAAGGTTGATTTAAGCGGGAATTTTTACGTCTGTCCATCTGAATGAACTTTAAGTATGAAAATACATAATTTACTGATTTCATAACCACTTGCGTAAATTAAACTTTTCATTTTTTGATTTCTTAAATATTGCTTTAACCAAGAATATGTAAAAAACATGATGACATACCCTTTTAAAATGAAAATATAGATATCAAATAACAAAAAAAAAAAAAAAAAATGGAAATAATTTTTTCATTTAAATCCCCCTGAACACACCCTATTTTTCCTTTTTTGAAGTACAATTTCTTAACAACTTTAGTCTTGAGGGGGACTTAAAAGTCACCCGATTGACCTAAAAAAAATTTTGACAAAGTTTTAGCATATTTGCTCCAACTTTAGCTGGGTATGTACTTCGATTTCAAAAATTCCCTAAAAATGACTACCCCTAATATATATATATATATATATATATATATATATATATATATATATATATATATATATATATATATATATATATATATATTATATATATATATATATATATATATATATATATATATATATATATAGGCTATATATATATACAGCGGGCTATAAGATAGAAGATGTGTGTACTGAAGTATCTGGTTATTTTAGTATGACATCACTGTTGTTATCTAAATATGTGTGTATATATATATATATATATATATATATATATATATATATATATATATATATTTATATATAGTCAGGCCAAGTTTCTTGCAACTGGTAACATGTAATACCTGGTAGTCAGATTACCCAAACTCTGTGGTAGCTCATAGAGAGGCTGATTTCATCAAAAGCTTTAAAGTATCATTGTACTAACAGTGCCATGTTGCGCATAGATGGTGTCCCTGTTCATACTTTTGATGTGCATTGTCGAGGCGGCATTTGCAGCCCTTTGTTCCAACATAGGGTTTAATAATAGCAAAAAGGCTATTGCTTGGACTATTAAACAGTGTGCTGAGTCAGAGCTCAAAGCATTATTTGTGCTTTGAGTCAAGTTCTTTAACAAATCCAAAAATATCCAATGTTCTAAAACTATAAATAACAAAAAACCATAGTTATAACGAAGATCTCTAAATCTATCTATCATTAATGTTTGTGGATTTCGAAGTTTTCTTCTGTTAAGTTTTTATCTCTTTTTCTGTTTCTGTCTTTGTTGAGTCTTATCTTGCAAAGTTCCCCAAACCTACTTGCTCTTAGTAAGACTAATTTGAGTTCAGCTGTCTCACCTTGTGATCTTAGTACTGATGATTATCTTTAATTCTTTAAGACTCCAATAATCATATGCTTTTCTGGGCATTTACATTCATAAGAATTCTTTTACATGTTTGAGTTTAGCACCACTTTGCTCTATCATCTTTCATTTTGTTCTATATCACTCTCCTTTATCTCAAAACTGCACTTTTTTTGATGTTATTTCTGATCAAATTGTCCAAGTCTTTTCTCTTAATCTTTCAGCCAATATTGTTCTTGTTGGTGACTTTAATACTCCTCACACTGAAGGGTTTGGTTCTAGTGTCAGTACACACAACCTGCATTAAGGCCCATAACTTATGTTGTGGGCCATAATGCAGTGTATTTTAACACAAATAGTCAACTTATCAACTCGCTTTCCAGACAATTTGAACAATTTACCTTGTCTAATTGAATAATATCTTGTTTCTGATCCTAGTCAGCGCTCAGTTTCTCCACATTCAACTTAAGATGCCTCTAATCAACAAACAAAACTGAATTCTTTGCCAAAAATATTTCATTAATCATCTTAATCTCTTAATTCCTCTAATCACATCCTACCTAATATAGCCAACAAGCAGGTTGATCTATTGCTCGACATTTGTATCACTTCAGCTTCTGTATCTAAATTGATTTCCTGCTTAGATTCTTCTAAAACATGTGGTCTGGATAACATACCTGCTATAGTCTTGCAGAAATGTTCTCAAGAGTTGTCGTCTATGCTTTCAAAACTATTTAACAAGTGCATATCAGAGTCTTGTTATCCAGCCTGCTGGATAGCACCTGCTACCCGTATTTTCAAAAATTCTGGAGAGCGATCTAACTACTGTCCTATTAGCTTCTTACTATCATCGGCAAGGTTTTTGAATCTTTATTAACAAAAACTTCATTTCTTATCTTGAATCTAATAACTTACCTTCTGATCATCAAAATTTCAATCTTTTAGTTCTACTGCCAATATGTTAACGGTAATAATCGATAGCTTTTATCATGCATTAGGTAGATGTGGATTAGGGCTATTGCTCTCAATATTTTTAAAGCCTTTGATAAAGTTTGGCATGCTAGTCTTCTCCATAAGCTCTCTTTTTATGTAACATCTTTAACATTATTGAATTATTCCTTACCAATTGTAGTATAAAAGTTGTCCTTGATGGATAGCACTCTTCTTCAGGGGTTCTTCATATTTCTATTACTGGTCCAATATTTATTAAACATTAGCGATATCCCAAAAATTATCACATCTAAGGTGGCATTGTTTGCTGATAATACCATTTATATTTGTTTTGATAAAAAACCAATACCCTCTAATTGGAGGAGGAATTTGAGCTTGAAAAGAATCTCACATCTGCAACAGCATGGGGCCTTTAGTGGCTGATGAACTTTAACTCAGTAAAACTTAATTTTTTTCAGCTAATGGTTATCACAATAATCTAGATCTTCCTATATTTATGAACAGTAACATACTGGATGAGTCAACTACCCTTCATCTTCTAGGATTAATCATTACCTTAAATTTATTTATTTTTTGTTTAATGATTATTAATTATATGTTATTTTTAACAAAAAACAAAAAAGAAACTAAAAAACCAACCTTTTTTTCTGATAAGCGATTGATAGGGTCTGCATAGTTGCGGGGTTGATAGTTGTGCTCTTGATAATTACGATCTTGATAGTTGTAACCTTGATGATTGGGTTCAAACTGGGTTCTTGGATTGTTATGATTCTCATGATAAAAAGGTTTTTGCATACAATAATCAAGGCTATGAATTTTAGACTTTTCAGGTTTATTCTCTGGTTTGTATATATTTATGTGGCATATTTCGCATAGGAGACCTTCATGTAAATTTGAAACTAATTCCATTTTCTTACATTCTACGCAATTTGAGTATTGGCTGTAATTTTTGCTACAGTTTGAACAAATGCCATTAGAAACTGCAGTTCTAGCATTACATTTCCTGCAAATTTTATTAGTGAAAGATGAGTGTAGATCATGATGAGAATTTCTAAAACTTTGGTTTAATATCTGATTTTGGTGAGGCAAATCAGAAAACCTAGCATTATTATATGGATATTTATTTTTGTTTTCATTGCTATATACTTGTAACTTTTCCTGATATTCATCAAACATATTATTTGGACGTGCTGAAGGTAAAGGAGGTAAAAATTCCATTGTTGAATTAAAACCTTCATAGTTAGTATTCTTAACACTAACATTTCTAGCTTGATGCATATAACCTGTGAAATTGTCATTATATTTATTTTTGTCTCCATTACTATATACTTGTGACCTTTCTTGATATTCATCAAACACATGATTTGGACGTGTGGATGGTAAAAGAGGTAAAGAATCAACTATTGAATTAAAATCTTCATAATCAGTTTTCTTAACACTAGGTGGATGCATATAATCTGTAAAATTGTCATTATGATTAGGTGGATGCATATAATCTGTAGCTGGATGCATATAACCTGTAAAATTATCATTAAGACTACTTTTATTGATAAAAACTTCAGATTTTGTGAGATTTTGTTCATTAAACCTTTGCATTAGATCACTGGAAGGCAAAGGTGGCAAATTATCAAGAGTAGAAATAAAGTCTTTAGAATTTTTATTTTTTCTGTCAAAAAATTCATCCTTTTTTTGAGACATCAATATAGAAGAATCTTTAAAACTTCCTTTTTTCATTTGATAACATTGTAAGCACATACCTAGGAATGCAATTATAAAATGATTCAATAGCATCAATCATGTAACATTTATTAATTCTTTAATACAATTCTAATACGGAAAATATTAGAACATTTTTAAAGTGGGAAAGATGATACAAAAGTGTTAAGAGTTATGAAGTTCAAGAACCATTAATAAATAAGACCCATTAGTAAACAATTTATAAATATTCATAAAAGCATAAATACATACATACATATATCTATACATACATACATACATACATACATACATACATACATACATACATACATACATACATACATACATACATACATATATTAATTATTTTAAACTATGTTTATAGCTATAAACGTAGTTTATAACTATAAACATAGTTTATACCTTCATAGTTTTATAGTTTATCTTTGGAATAAATAACTTTAAAACTTTGATTTTTTTTTAAATTAAATTTAATTTAAATTTTTAAATTAAATTTAATTTAAAACTTTGATCAAAATTTTTTTAAATAAAGTAATAAACTACTTTTTATCAATGTTTATCATTAGATAAAAATGTTTACTTAAATTATCAAAGAATATTATTTTTAACTTGTTCATTTAAAAAGTATATTTTTTAATGATAAATAAATTTGATACTTCAATACAACCTCTAATTAATTATTTTTATATGATACAAAACCCTTAAGTTTTAAATAAATTATTTCTAATAATTGTTCATAATGTAACACATTTTATATATTTTATCAAAAAATGCTTTATATAATTTTTTTTATTTATAAAAGTATGTATTTTTATCTGAAAAATTTCAGACAAAATACATGCTAGGTAAATAACAAATTCAATAAATAACAATCAATCCTTTTTTAAACTTATTTTATGCTTTGTTGACAAACTTTATTAGTACATTTCTGAAAAATTATTAAATTATATCAACCCTTGGAAATATGAGGTTGGCATTAATTTGCTGACCCTAATCTTTTAGAGGTTGGCAGCAGGTCTGTAAAAAATTTGATACAAAGGTCTTACCATAAAACATAGAAATGAGGTCGACAATTTTTTGGCGACCTCAAACACTTTAAGGTCAGCAGTTAAGTCAACCCTAATTCCGAAAGTTGATATATATATATATATATATATATATATATATATATATATATATATATATATATATATATGTATATATATATATATATATATATATATATATATATATATATATATATATATATATATATATATATATATATATACATATATATAGCAACAAATTAGCTTGTTTAGACTTTTTTAACAAACGCATTGTCGATGCATGAAACATCTTACCAGATAAAGCTCCCAGTTTATTCTACCATTAAAATGTTGAGAATGTTCTACTATTCCAGAAGTATTTCAGTTGGCATTTGTAACATTATTTTTATGTTCTTGAATTTGTGCGAAAGATTTTTTTCTTGTTTCACCAATATAACATGCACCACATGTGCAATCAAATTGGTACACTACTGAATGACTATTCGGAGACAGTTTAGATTTATTACGTCAAAATATATTGATCAAGGGATTACCAAAACAGAAAACTGTTTTAATGCCAACTTTACAAAATTCTCTTCTAAGAACAAGGCATAATTTCGCATGATAATCACCCATGATAAAATAACTAGATTTTTAGTATCAATTTTTTGAGAATAAGATGGACTTGTGAAGTATTTATAATTTTTAACAATATCTGAATATTGTTTATAGGAATGTCCATTTTCAGTAAAAATCTTAATAAAAAAATTGATTTCATCTTAAATGCTATGTTCTGAACAAATTTTGTATGTTCTAGCAAAAAACCTTAAAAAATACCAACTGCAATACTCGGTGAAATAGATGATTTTGGTTTTATAAGTACATTTGTAATTGCATCTTTACAGTGTCAAGACCATTTTCGACAGCGTCAACCTTATTTGGGTGCTGCCCAAATAAAAATTTGAGGAACTTTTTCTTTTTTTTAAGCTTTATTTCTGCTAAATTTCTTTGCGACAGCAGGCTTGGACAGGAATGGTGTGAGATCAAGCGTTATTATTGACCATGCAAATGATTTTATTTTTTGACAATTTGACTACGATTGTTTATATGTTTTGATGATTTAATTATTTCAGAAATGCGCTAAACTTAAACTAGAAAAAAAAGAAAAAAAAATCCTAACGAAAAAAGAAATCATAAAATAATTCCTTACATAAAGGAAATTATATAAGCACTAAAATAAAAAAAATAAAACTTAAACTCAACGCAAAACTTTTTGCTATGTTTTTAATAATGGTTGAAATAAATGTTATTAAAACTAATCTTTTTAAACGTTTTATTAAAATTACGCAAAATGCTTTTAAATAAACACTTTTAAAAGTAACTAACTACTACTAATGATTGTTTGATAAATAAACAAATTTTATCAAATTTATTAAAAAGTGTTGTATATAATATTTTTAATTGTATAAACATTTATTTTTTAAAAAATGTTGCATAAAAAAAGCAAAAAAAAAAAAAAAAAAAAAAAAAAAATTGTTTAAAAAAATGTCTTTTTAAAATAGTAATTTTTAATAATTTATAATTAGTAAGTCTAGTTAAAAAAAAGGTTTTCAACTTTTTTTATTCATAAAAAAATAAAGAAAATGAGCCTGCAATTTAAATAAAATAAACTGCCAACAAGAAATTTAATTTTAATTTGAGCATTACATTATTAATAAGCGCTTCAAGTAATGAATTTAAAAATTACTTTATAATATTTAAACTCATTCATTCCTATTGCAATTTAAAAAGAAAAAAAATTTTTTTTTTTAAATAAAATGTTTGTTAAAAATATCTTAAAATAAGTAAGTTGAATTATAAAAATTAATTGTATGAACATTACAAAATGCTTCAAAACTTTTCCATTATCAACAAAATACATGTTTATATAAGTAAATAACGTTATTTTATATTCTTGTATAATTCACATAAAATATGTAAAAGCTAGTAGTCACAAAAGGTTTTGAACTTATTCATAAATTAAAGTAACTTAAAAAAACTTCTTTCTAATAGTAATGGTTTAAAGACTTTTAGGAAGACATGGAAAAATAGTTTCAAACGTTTAAATGTATCATAAAAATACATGCATAAAATAAATTTATATACAACATTTTTTATTAATCTACACATGCGTTAATGTAAACAATCATTATAATTAATTTTTATAGTTTTATTTCAAAACTATAAAACGCCTTTGCGTAAAATAAAAAATTTAGAAAAGATCAATGATTAAAAGTTTTTCATAATGTAACTTTTTTTTTATTGCATTTAATTTGTTAAAACATCAAAATAGCCAAGTTGTAAAGAAAAAAAAAATTAGGGTGGTCAGTTACAGAGTGTGATAGCACGTTATTTCTGTCCAAGCCTGGAACAGGGGGAGGGTATATGGAAATAGCCCCTGGGTATATGGAAAACCCATATTGGTGAAGGGAATGATTATTTGGAATACCAAATATCTAAAAAATTTAATTGGTGTTGAGCATTTTTGTATTCGCATGTATATTGGATAGATTTATCTTGTGAATTTAAAAGGATTTAAAAAAAGAAATAAATAGTATGATACCGTACATGATATTTTAATGCTTATAATATTATTACACATACTATTAATGTCATTAAAATTTTATGTACATATATGTGTATATATATACAGGGCCTATTCTTGGAAAAAAAATGGCAGTACCCCACTTGTTTCGGTGGATTTTAGTAGAAAATTGGCATTTTTTTCACAAAAAAAACAAACAATATTTGCCATAAAAATATATATATATATAAAAAAAAGCTCCTGAAATTATAATTGTGCGCTCTGCCAAATACAGTCAATGCTGTCGAAAACGGTCTAGAATAGCCCTTTTATATATATATATATATATATATATATATATATATATATATATATATATATATATATATATATATATATATATATAGATATATATACATGTATATATATATACATGTATATATATATATATATATATATATATATATATTTATATATATATATATATATATATATATATATATATATATATATATATATATATATATATATATATATATGTATGTATATATATATATATATATATATATATATATATATATATATATATATATATATATATATATATATATATATATATATATATATATATATATATATATATATATATATATACAGTATTGTAAAAAAGTTAAGAACCACCAAAAAAACAAATCATTATTTATTTATTTTTTTAATTTTTATTTAGTCGAATATAGTTTTCTGGTAAAAAAATAAAAAGAATAATTTTTATGAAATAGAAAAAATAAAAAATAATAATAATGCTGAAGCCTTTTAAACAAATAAAAAAAATGTATTTAAAGTTTTGTAGGTGATTTTTATTTTTAAAAAATTGTAAAGAAGTTAAGAAATGCAGAACAAAAAACAGTAATTTTTACCTAATACCGCATAATTCTACCATGAATTTTTAAACACACATTTATACGATTTGGCATTTTTACATTTGGCATTTTTACATTTACATCATACATGGCATACCATTTGGCAAGTCTATTATATTCTCTAAAATATGTTTGGGAATATTTCTGAGCATTGTTGGTAAAATATTGCGCAACTCCTCAAGGCTCCTTGGTGCTTTCTTGGCAATCTGTTTATCAAGCCAACTCCAAAGATTTTCAATGCTATTTAGATCTGGGCTATTTGATGGCCTAGTTAGACACTCAATATTTTTGCTTTCGAACCATTCAAATACAATTTTAGCCCTGTGGCATGGTGCATTGTTTTGCTGAAAAATGAACAGAACGCTTTGCTCAAGTACACCAATTGATGGTAACAAGTTATTATTTAAAATATTGACGTAATAAATAGAGTTAAGTTGACCATCAAATAGTTTAAACATACCAAGACCATAATATGTCATGCAGCACCATATTCCAACTGACCCACTACCTTGTTTTGTTCTTTGAAC